CGTCAGAGAACATGCTTTTCATCTCTCAAAGCAGCAAATCCAGGTTCAGACCCAACAGACGGCAGGTGAACCTTTTGACTCTGAAGCGAGGGTGACTGCAGGACCACAGCGCAGGTTAAGCTAGCTCCTTCCTGAGGCAGGTGCCTCCCACTTCCACCCCAGCCCACCTGGTTCTTCTCATCGCTGGGTACAGCTAGCAGCCTCTGTGCTTAGGGCAGAGGTTTGCTGCATCCCCTGTCTGTCTGAGACATGCAGGCAGCGCAGATGCAGTCACAGCAGCTGCTCCTGGCTCACACACGCTACCCCTCACTGCTCACAGGGCATAACGTCCTAACGCCAGCTACTTCTACACAGGAGACCACAGCTCTGCCTCAACCTCAGCCACTGCTGCCACGTCCTTCCCACATCCACGACAGCCAGCAGTCTCAGTGATCATCCCCCTTCTCATCCGAGCAAATCTCTCGAGCTCTTCTTTTTAACCCCCCTCTGCTCTTGACTGTCTCTGCTTTCTTTCTCTCGATCTCATAGCCCCATTTCCATACTGTGTGATCACACTGCAGGGCTGCCGTATGCTGCCTGATGAAGTGAGGTACTGCTCCACGTAACCACCTCTCCCTCTCTCTCTCCCACTATATCAGTTCCCCTCCCTCTGCTTCTTTCTCCCTCACTGTCTCGCTCCTTGTCTCTCATTCTCAAACAAACAGACAGATTAAAACATCTCTTTCCTCATCTGTCTCTCTACTTCTTTTCCTCTTCTATCTTGGCCCCCTTTTTTCCTCATACAGATGCATGCATATTTTCTTTTCATCGTCTGTTTCTCTCTAACCTTACCACACATCTCCCCCCCCCTCATCCCCACTGCACTGATTAGAATTGTACAGAGGCACTCTGATCTTGCCTGTGCAGGAAGGACACAACCATCAGAGGCAAAGATCAAGCACTGAGAGCCCCAAATCACAGTCCTTTTCTGCAAATGACTAGAATGTAAAGGGATGATGGAGACCCAGCACGGTTCTGCAGAAGTAACACCAACTGTTTAGGCTAATATAGGATATTGAAACAAAGAGGCTGCTCAAGCCTCTGCTTGATAGGAGATGGTTTTGACGGAACATGGAGGGCAGCAATTATTCAAGTCAGCAGAAGAGACAAGACGCACTTGAAGTCCATCACCATCTCATCCAGTCATACAGCATGACAGAAAAGAGGCAAATTCCATTATGTGTTTCCAGATGTCCATGTCACATCATCTATTTTTAGAGCACAACAAAAACTACTTACAAGAAAAAGCCTGGATAAATAGGTGAGACAATATAAAATTCAGCTACATGTTTGGGTAAAAAGACTCACACACAGTACAATTTGACTTTGAAAGAATTGCTACAGCATATAGAGGGAATGGTAGACATCAGCACCCACCTATGCAGGGTTGCTCACTGCGTCCGTCACTGGTGTTATCTGGGTACAGCTGCAGGCAAAGCGTAATTATGCAGGCTTTCAAGCTGCTTGCAGTCACCTCACACATTCTTATATGGGTAGTCAGTAAGACAGTCAGGGCAAGAAGACGTGGTGCCAACAGAGGGAGGCAAAGTGAAGGGCTACTGATTGAACCTCATCCGTAATTGGCTGCCTCTACCACACTGCTGTTGCTCTGGCATTAATGATCAGGTAAAAGGCCAGGTCAGGTCTCCGTGACTCTTCACTCATCCACAAGGACCAGTGCTTATCATTCATTATCAGGAAGAGAAGCCGCTGTCAGATTAGCTCTGACTGAGGAGAAGAGTGATAGAAAGACACGGTGAGGAATAAACAGACAGGAAGAGAGGATGAGACAGAAGAGAAAAAGACTAAGAGGAGGAAATGATGAAACATATGGGTGAGAGAAGATGGTAAGAGGAAGTAAGAAGGACTGAAGTGAACTAATTATGATTCACTACGAGATCTCACAA